GTGAACCTTATTTGGATCCTTATTTGAACAAACTAAGTGTAAAAAGGCATTTTTTTGAGACAATCTGGAAAATTTGAACATGGACTGAACACTGGGTGATACTGAGTAATTTTGTTAGGTGTGATAAAGTCCTTTTCTGTTAGAGATACATACATATATATTCCATAAATTTGCGTTAAAATACTCAAAAAAAAAGTGTAGGAGGATAAAACAAGTTCAGCAAAATGCTAATTACCAAACCTAGGTAAGGGTACATGTGGATTTGTTATACAACTTAAATTTTTATATGTTTGAAATTTTTCTGTAACAAAAAACACAAACAAAATAGAAGTATTCTGTAGACACCTATATTAGCAATATGGCATACAAACTAAGTATATGTCATAGTACCTGTCCATGATAAGTTTATAATCCTGGTGAAAAAAACATAAGAATGAAACAAAGAACAATATAAGATTGCTTAATTTAAAGTAATGCTCAAATTGAATGACACAAGCAGTAAGTGCAATAGGTCCAGGAAGAGATTAGTACATAGTACTAAATCCACTAAGAAATGTCTATGCTTGTTTTGATTTTTCTCAGCTAATCTAGTATGCAGACTCTATTTTTTAATTCTGGGATTCACTGGAAACAGAATAGAGACCCTCAAAAGTAGAGACAGCAAAAAGCACTTCTGTCTTGGCCCAGTGAAACTATCTGGTGTCTAAGCAGAACCTTAAATGGCAAAAAGATGCAGATAAACATAAAATATGTTTCTACAAAAAAACAGGGAATTTCTTTTAATAAAAACATGTTCTCAATCTAAATATACACAGAGTTTAGAGGAAAAGAGCAATCTTTTCAAGTGTTTTCCTTAATTATATCGCAACAATAAAACTTTAAGCCATAAATCAATAGTACAGCTACATTATTAAATAATACCAAATGTCTAATAACAAGCTAACTGATGCTGCTGCACTTGGTATAAATGAACACAGAATTATTACGCCTAGCTGGCCTATTAAGACTAGTACTTTCAGTCTGGAAGGACAGAATGATCAAGATCTCAAAAAAATTAGATAAACACCATTATGGGTACAATTCGTAAGTAATTATGCTATCTATAGGTGAATACAAGCAGATTGGACTTTTAAATACAATTTTCACTTGAAAGAAATTAAACGCTAACCTATGCTTAATGACAGATAATTTCTAAATCTTTCACTAGTCAAGAACAACAGGCATCTTTATGTTATCTGTG